CATGGGAATAATAGTATCATGTTGCTTGCGCTGTTTGCCCCCATCCGATTTATTCATTTCGAAGGCCTTGAGTGCATCTTCGGGCAGTGATGCATGAGCTGAGGACTGATCAAAAATAAAAAGAGCTTGTTTTCCCAGATGAGCAAGCTCAAAAATTCGGATGGCTTCCTTGACTTGTGCAAGAAGTTGTTTTGTTTCCCACCATGGGTCACCACCTGGGCCATCACCTGGATAGATAATGATATGGGCATCATGGATAATGTTGCCATGCTCATCCCGACTGATAAGTTGACCACACTCCGGATTAAGAAAGTCTGAGACATGGATGAGACAACCACGGCCCTTCTTGCAAAGAACTGTTTGTCCCTCCTGGAGATTCAGCCTGTTGAAACAGGTGTAAGAATTTTGTCTACAGAAGTGCTATGCAAAATTTATCATGCTTGCCCTGCTTCATCATTTGCATGAAAACAGCACTCATCATGAAACAGTGGGATGAGTTCCTTTTCACCTGGTTTAAGTTTGGGCTCCACCCGAACAAGTTCTGGCCCCTTATCCTCATAATATTCATGGTGGACCATTTGTTCTTCAAATTTAAGCATTGCAGGCAGAAATTCATGGTTGTGATAATGGACCACATCTTCGCGCTCGTGGCCATCCATGTACACCCCCTTTTTAATCAGGGTGTGTGTCCAGCCTAGCTTTATCAACCACCGGCGAGCTGTCCTAATGCTGAGGGGATTTTTGGGTTTTATATCAAGCTCAGGGAAGAGTGAAGAGTTGATGTGCTTCTGCAGTGCGAATGGTGTTACTTTGCCTGTTGGGATGCTCCGCAGATATTCCAGAACTCGCACTTTCACTCGCTCATCATGCAGCCATGATTGGGCAGGTCGTGATCCACCCCTCGCCTCTCGAGGAAGTTTCCCAAAAAGCTGATAGTGTCGGGCCGATGAACGAACTCATTGAGCAAACCATTCTCCCTTTCCCTTGCCATCATGCCATTATCGGGAAATCTCAGTACCAGCTTGAGTATGAGATACATCCTTCAGGCGAAGTGTGGCAAAGTTGGAGACAATCATGAGCTGATTAATGCGAGATAATGGCAAGATCTTGCTATTTTTTTTGAGCTCCAACTTGATCTCTGCCCGAATCTCTGCCCAATCACGAATGGGCCAGTTGTGGTGCTGGCAAGACTGTCCTCCAACTCATCCTCCCATGCTTGCTGTTCCTGCTCTTGCTGTTGAGCTGACATTTCATCCTCTAGCAAGTCCACCTCAACCTCGCTGGGTGCACCCGAAGAAGCTGGTACAGACATTGGTGTATTGTCTTCATTGTCTGACACTGCTGCTGAAGACACAGGCTCGGAGATTGGATCAAATTCTGTATCTGTTGCTTCCGGTGATGCTGATGCAGGACAAGTAACAGGGATGGTAGGTGACAATGGAGCTGAAGGATCCTCCAGAATAATTGGGCTGAAAGGATGTGGGGCAGAAGGTGGCCCTGCAAGCATGACTGCCTTCAAGGCAGGAGGCAGTTTCTTTGAAGTAATGGGCAGACTCGATGTAGCAGCATGAGAACTACACCGCCAATGGTCACACATGTTGTCGCGGCCTGGAACTGACATGTGCCCCAGACGTCGGTGGAGACTGGCAGCCAGCTGGTCGTACCCTGGATTCCAGGTTCTATCGCAAATGGGTCCAGCGTGGGACCAGCTCCACATGGCAACCAGCTTTTAGACCAGATGGTTAAAGGCCGGGTCAGCTCAGCTCATACTAGCTTGCCAAAACCCTGGCCACTTAGTGCTTGTAAATGATCCATTGAAACACGATAATTGTTTGCATTCTGAGATTCGTGTACAAAATGGACGCAACAAGATAAGAAGCCTACTCTGGAGCATCGCGCTGTGCTGACAACACCACATCTGCTACATCGGCATCCATGAGATCGTTGACCATCTGCTAGAACTCGTTGACAGCGTCCTCGATGATCTCGTAGTCCTTGACACTGTGCTTGGCTTGATCTTGGGTGTGATGGCAGAGCAACCTCGCCGCCTTGAGCATTTGAAGACGACCCGTTGAGAAAAGGCTACATTTAGTATCTTGAAAGAAAGCCATGAGTTTGAAGCTTTAGAGAGTCTTGAAGCTTGAAGAATCTTGACAGCAGACTAGCTCGAGCCTTGATGCAAAGAAGAGCAGAGAAGGGAGGTTGTTGAGATTTGAGAACATCAAGGAAGGCAAGCAGAGGAGGGGGTGAGGAGGGAAGGGCTCAGAGTCCAAGATATATGAGTAGAGTGGCTGGATGCACCGGTGGGGCCACTGTGAGCCGGTGATTTGCTTGAACTTGACGGCAAATCTCATGCTTTGAGGCATCCAGGGTTATCTGGGTTTGAATTGGCTTGAGCAGGGATGAGAGGTAGGATAGGAAAAGAGGGAGCGGGATGGCAGAAGCCACAAGATTCCCCGTCATCTTGAGATTTGTCGTACAGACGCAGAGGATGACGTTGCGTGGACTTGAGATATTTCGCCGTCTTCAGACGTGTGGGACCGCAGCGGCGTGCTCTTGAGTCTCGAGACCTTGAGACGGTTGAGGCGAGGCTGGAGAGAGCGGAAGTGGATGGCGGGAGGAGAGCAACGAACCAAATCAAAAGTCACGCCACCCGTTGCTATCTGTCAAACGTCAATGTTCCGATGCGATCAAAATCGGACTTGATGAGTTGAAGCATGTCTCTAAATCGTCACTTCACGGTCAGCGCGGTTAAATCCATCGGTGCTCCGGTTGAAAGGAGGGGATACGGGGTATCCAGCATCCATTTGGTTTTCTGATGATAGGCCGTATGGGATGTTCGCCAAGTTATATTATATCCAAGAGCCGTGGATTACCTCAAGGCAAAAGATTTTTGCAAGAGTTATGCCAAATCACTCAGTGGGTTTTTTCCTGATGTGGTACCAGCTTCAGCCGATCTGGATCTGGCCCCCTATTAAAAATATGAAGGTGGATAATGGGAGATATGCATGTCAAAGATGGAAGACAAAAAAATGTGCTTTACACTAGTTTACGGCGCTCAAAGACATATGATGCCAAAGACAGCAGTGTAGTTTGATCATTACTGATGAGCCCTCTTCCAGGAGGTAAAGGGGTATGGCGGTAGCATGAACATTCAGCTGGTGACTAGGTGATAAGCCGACTGGAATATCCAGCTGGAAAGCAGCTGAACTCCATCTGGGACCACAAATTATTACAGGTGGATTACATGCGACTACTCCAGATAGGGTCAACATGCAGGCACTTTGGCGGTGTAGAAAACCCAAAGTTGTCCAAAAGATCTTGGTCTTTGAGTTTGGCAGCATATCAATACGCTGTACTCTGTCCTTTATTCATGCCATCAGAGGTGGTATTGTAATGCTTTGGACGTTCTAGATATTCAAATCAAATGAGTTTTAAGGACAATACCCATGAGTGATGTTTCACACTTTTCCTTTCCTTTATTTTAATCCGCAGATTTGGGGGCAACCAATCTGAATTCTTTGAGTCCTCCTTCTCAGTCATCTCAGCAAGCCGTAAAGTAAACTCTTCATCATCAAACTCATCAAGGTCGATCTCAGATTCAACATTGGAGTCGTCCTCATGCTCCCAGTCACCTCGTAGGCTGTCAAAATGGACTCCCATGGCAGAATCATCATCAGAAGTATCTGTGATGTTTTCTGAAGCAGTAGGAGGTGCCAATGATGCTTTTTTTTGGTTGCAGAGGCCACTCATATTTGGTTTTTGCTTCTTTCTGGGTGGCATTGGTGGTGGTCAAGGTCAAGGAAAGATCATTTTTTATTGATTGATCGGCTAGATAAATTTTTCTAATTTTATCAGAATTATACTCAGCTGATCGAAAGACGTTGATTGGCACTTTCTCCGGTATTTTTCCGATTTTTTTTTGACTTTTCTCAATATTTTTGTGATAGGGTGGTATAAATATTGTAGATTAGATGTATATATTTTAGAGTACACTCGTATTGTTTGTAGTGGCTGTGTCATCGGGGTGATCGCGCTGATGACTAATCTATTCTAACTTCCTCGCACACCATGACAAGCTAAGTTCCAACGAACTAGAGTGTCCGCGCAACAACCCAGAAACCTCAAGCCAGCTGAGCACCCGCATCTGCTCACTTCTCTAGGTCACAAGAGCCCAGTCCTGGGTGACAGGATCCCACGTACAGGGTTACAGGCTAGAGTTCTACCTTAGGGCGAGAACTCACCTTATTTCTATCTCTTTCTTTGACGTCGAGGACACTGTGCATCCTCTGCTGGCCTTTGAACTCGCGACAAGACTACAATCTTAAACCTAGGGTTCCACAATTTTGGGGGTCCAAAAGTTTATTATGGAGAATTTCGAAAATCAGCTCGTGCAGATCTCTTTCATACTACCTAGATTGACTGTTTTTGTAGTTTCCAGACCCTCGAAACAATTTCCGCCGCTCTAGTATTCAATTTTCCCACGCATCTAAAATAGGCAGGCTTTGATTGTCCCCTACTGTACTGGGAACCAACTCAAGTTGACTTGAGTGACTTCAAGCCGACCATCTCAACTCAACTTGACTCGGCCCAAGTCGGCAACTTCAAGTTGACTTCTTTGGCTCAAGTCTGAAGTCGCGGCAACACTAGCCATAAGTGAGAAATTTTTGAGAAGCAAAATATTGTGGAACGCAAGATGCAGGAAAGTATTGTTTCTTTTGAGGCTCCTGCATAGTGATAACACTCACTCACGATCAAGCATTTCAATTGTTAACTGCTTCTCCAATTTTTGAAAATAAAAACTGCACATGGAGGAGGGAAAACATAAAATACTGGAAAAGAAAAAAATATTCCGAATCGGGGAATCGAACCCCGGGCTGCTGCATACCGGTATGACGAATGCACACCAACCACAAGTTGGCATGATGCATGGGGCCAGAGCTGAGGAGAAAAATCCAGAAGAGATCAAAATGAAAGGAGGTGGGTGGGAAGCAAAAGCATTCCGATACAGGGAATCAAACCCCAGGCACACGCGAAAACACTAGAGTCCTTATGGGATGAGAGGCGCGTATGTTACTGTTACACCATATCAGACATGTACTGTTCCCGATGTGTTGACTGACGGGGAATCAACTTGTACGTCCGCACATTGACTGACACGTTTCCCCGCCCCCATGTCAGCTTAGTATAGGCAGCACGACATTGTGACATCGCATAGCAACTGTACTATCGTGCATCGAACTGTTTAGGAGTCGTCATCTACCTAGCGCAGATGTCTTGCTATTTTTTTCACCAAATAGACAAAGTTGTTCATGGACCTCTAGCTTGAAACACACCACAGCGAATGAATGAGCAGGCTAGAAAAATTTCCAAGGCCGATTTTCATGTTGACTTGTTACTTTTTAGCTTAGAAAAAATTGATCATGTACAAGAAATGATGAATTATTCTAAGGCCGATTTCGCATTGACTTAGTACTTTTTAGCGAAAAAACAGAAGACATACGAGGAACAGGGAATTTTTCCAAGTCCAATTTAGATGGGGACTTAGTACTTTTTTGCCATTTTTCCTGACGCTGTGCCTGCTTGACCCCACTCCGCAGAAAGTACTTGGTGCTGCGCAGGTGAAAATACTTGGAGTGAATTGTACATGCCCGCTTTGCGGAAAATACTTGGTGTTGAATTTGCCGTGCCCACTTTGCGGAAAATACTTGGTACTGAATTAATGGTGCCAGCTCTATGGAAAACACTTGGATTGAAATTGGCCGCACTCGCTTTGCAGAAAACACTTGGATTAGAAATTGATACAGGCACCTGAATGGATTTGGACGGCAGTTGTCGACTCACTGGCTTTGTGTGAAGCAAGAGGAGCCTTGTGATTGGACCCTAGAGGTGGTACCAGTAAATGTTTGGTTGAAAGAGGTGTAGGCAGTTGCAGTGTTGGGCAAGTCATTGACTAGTCACAAAGTCACTGTTGGCAGGTCGGTCCAGTCGCTAAGGTGACCTGACTTTTGACCTGCCAGTCCCAATTGGGAAACACCGCCGCCGACAAGTCCGGAGACATTGTTCCATGGTGTTTTCAACAGGTTTTGACCATGGTCGAGTGTGAGCTATGATATATTATGTTTATATGGACCTATACATATACATTAGATGTTGTTTTAGCCAGTTTAACCATCATTTTTATCATCAAAATGGCTCACCAGCACTGATTGACTGACAGACCTTTTGATTACAAGTCTGCAACATTTGCCATAGCTAGTCAACATTATGACAGTGCAAATACATGATGAAGCTTTGCATTTACAACCCATTCAAGACCGCCTCAGTCACAGAGTCCAACCCACCATCATCTGAGATCCCGGTTTTGTCAATGAGCTCAGCTAGCTCAACCTCTGTGTTCAAGTTCTGACACCCAACTTTCCCGTCAATATATTACCCGCTACTGTCAGGAATACTCACAACTGAGAAGCAAGACATCCTGATTTCTGACTGGACATCCGGCCTGGGTGTCGCTATTCTGGTCTGCAGCCACCCAATGCGCCAAACATTGTTTGCAAATCAGGTGAAGCTTGCCTCCCGATGTGCAGGCAACTGGATCATTTCTGGACGGATATCCCTGGAAATGGGTGCGATACCAGCCTCCGGAAGCTATCAGATAGGCAGACAGCAAGCAAAAGACAATTGAGAGCAAGAACACTGTTGTATATATGCACTCTGATATAATTAGCTGAACAGGTTCCATCCGACATTACTTGCATCTTGATTCTCAGATGTTTGCAATTGGTCTACAAGTTGGAACATGATCTGACTGGCTGAGGCAGTCTGAGAAGCTCTGAGCTGGAAACGGAAATATGTCCTTCGAGTCTCAGAAAGTGACAGATGTGGGTGGACTTGCATCACACACCACAAATGAAACCAAAACATCATTAATTGAATGAGCTGGAAAATGAGCCTAAATTATTCATTGCAGGTGCCAAAGATTCAACTATAGGGTATTATCTATCTAATGACCTCAACTTATTTCACAATTTTTTGTATTTATTTTGACTTGGAACAGCAGTTTCCGGGTGTGGCAGAGAACGAGCTGGCTAGCCGGCGATGTGGGAATGGCCGCTCAGCTAGCGTCTGATGCATTACAGAAGTCAGGTCAACGGCACAACTTGATGACTAGTCACTGAGTAGTCGCTGTCAATGACTATTGACTAGTCACTCAAAGGCGGTGACCCACTAACACTGAGCAGTTGGCTGGCGGTTGTTTGGCTATTATTACATCCCGTACCACCACGGACTCATCCGGACCTCATCCGACCATTTCCGGTATACTCTGGTATACATCTGTTCACCTCAGGTAACCTCTGGTTATCTTCTGGTCAACTCCTGGTCAACTCCCGGCCAACTCCCGGTCTACATTGGTTTACCTCCAGCTCAACCCCGGACGACATCCGGACTATGACCGGATGACTTACGGTTATCATCTGTTCATCTCTGTCCTCTTCCGGCTTAACGTTCCAGTCTTCTCTGGAACGCTCCAGCTCTTATTGGACTTCATCCGGCCCTTCGGCCAATGACAAGTTTTCATGCAACCGTCTATCTGCCTTAGTGGTAGATCTCCACATGCACTCCTGTTATGCACACATGCTCTATGTTCTCAATCCGTCATCTCCCTTGTACTTATACAAGAAGCTATGTTCTCCTTTTACTCTTCCCTTGTTCTTTAATCAATTTCCTTATATATACTTACCTCTGCTATTACTATAAAATGTCTAGATTACAATCATGTACTTTAGATTGATTATTAATGTTGTTTGGCCTTCTGTCATTCTCTGTCGTCTTGACTCTTCCTCCAATGTCCGAGTACTCCGGCCGATGGACTCAATTTCCATCTCACGTCCGACGACCAGACTTGTTGAAACCCTTATCCCGGATGTCCGGACTTATACATCTGTGAACTTCCCTACTTGTCGGACTTCACCTCGGACTTCAGCATAACTTCCGGATTACCGGACCTCGCCCGGCCTTCGGCATAACTTCTCCGGATTACCGGACCTCGCCTGGCCTTTGGCATATCTCCTCCGGCTTACCGGACTTTGCCCAGCCTTTGGCATTTCTTCTCTGGCTTACCGGCCTTCATTTCCGGTAACCCTCGGCCGTCTCCCTTTCCCTCCTCCTTCATTCCTAGCCAACCAGATAGTACGCTCACCCTTAAACCTAGCTGTGGTGTAGTGGTCCATATCCGTGTTCCGGAATCCTCTCCCGTTTACTTCCGTTGACCTCCGGCATTCCCGAGCCCGGTCATAACTCATCTGGAACCTATCCCCTCTTGTTCCTTTCTCCCCTTGACACAGATATAACAGCTATAAACAGACTCAGAACAAAGACGTGCCTCTGGATGTTGGTGTGCACCCAAGAAGATCCTTACGAAGAAAGAGGGCGCATGATGGTTGATCAACATGCCTAGACATAGACATTTGGTTTGGCTGGATGTGCTGAAACGTGGATCACATCTCCAGGTAGAAATAAAAACATTGCATTAGATGAGGGATACATGGTTGTTGTGTGCAGTAATTGTACACAAGAGGACGTGAAGTGCGTCGATGAACATGGTGGAGAGGCTACACTGCTGTTGTGGCTGCTGAGAGTGGTTGTGGAGGCATGCGAAGGTGTGGACGAACTGAGACAGGGACCTGCATCTACCTTCAGGTCACTGAAGAGACGTTGCTCTTGAAAATAATGTGCGAGCCGGAATGTAGACGAGTGTCAAGTAGACGCAGACACCTGTTTGAAGTGTAGCAGACGTGGGGGTGGATGCTGCATTTGATGCCTGAGGTGTGTGTGGTGGTTTCAGGTGGAGGGGCGGACAGCAGCCTTGGACAAACCCAATGCGGTGTTTATGCTTATGTGAGTATAGGCATCGGGTGAGGAGATGGGGATGAGACAGTGTTGTTGTGCTGGCATTGAGTGACGAGTAGATGGTGTCCACTGATGTTTGGAAGGAGACACCTAATGCAGGTCCGAGGAGGTGGATGCGGACGGCTATGGTAGCGGTTTGCCGATTATACATGTTGAGATGCAGGTGTGGTGGTATGTGGACCAGGTGGGTGGTCCAAACGAGATGATGCGAGACAGGCGCTGTGTGGATTGGAGGATGTGTGTGCGCAGGCCAGCAATCCTTCACGATGAGACCGGGGAGTTAGAGGGGACAAGGAGAGAGCTTAACGGCTATGGTGCTGCAGTTTTATGGTACAATAGATCTGCCTTGATTGAAGAAATGAAATTGGAACAATTGAAAGAGGAGGCATAGAGCATTGTCGTGAAAAGCTGTGGTTGTGTGCATGGAGGTCTAATGGTGTAGACGGCAGAGTAGTGTATATGGCGCCGGGCACTTGTCATGGCAGGAACATGGTGGGTGGGCTCTCGTGCGATGAGCTGACTGTGTGCGTGCAGGGGTTGCCGTCATGCTATAGTGTGGTGGCACGGATCTGCATCAATTGAAAGCATGAAACAAAGGGAACACATGGTATCCCGCATGTTCCCTCCTCGTAGTAAGGCCCTGGCGAAGATGCTGAGATAAAAAAGAAAGATCCTCCCATTGGAGCTCGAGGACTTGGATGTATTACTCGTAAAATGTGCCTTCAGAAGCCCAAGATCTGGTGGTAATTCAACCACCAGGGCATCAAGCAGAGATGATTGCATGTAGAGCCTCCATATGGACTATGAGATGCAGGTGGAAAAAAGGTTGTGAATTGATGAGGTTTGAGAAAGAGTGGCCTGATGGCACAACCATAACAGGTACTTTTTGAATAGAACATTGGAATAAATTTACAAACAGTCAGTGGAAACACAATAAATTGGACAGAATGGTTGGAAGTTGCAATGGCGGGCTGGGTCTTGGACTCAGGAATGGCAGCAGGGTTGACGCTGGGCCACCTGGGACTTGATTGAGGCTGCTGGTCTGGACTTGCTGAGATAACCCAAATTTTGGATCTAAACTTTGGAGTGAAATTCAGGAGGGGGCGCCGGGAAAAAAGTGCTGGCAGATTCAAATGTGGGAGCTCGTTGTTGGCGAGGCAGGACGTGCTCTGGACCGCTGTTCC